TTGAGATATTTATCAATAAATGGGCGCAGCTTGAGACCATACTCATAAGTGAAATAAATCAATCTCGCATGTGTGAATACCGAATAGTTTCCCTAATGTAAGTAATGATTCAAATATATAAAAATATGTGGTAATCATGATTCCCCATTAGGTGGCCTTGGAGCCTTATAAAGTTTTCACTCATTAATTAGAAAGGCTTTATTCTGGGCTTCTTGATTTGAAAATATTTGAAGCTAGAGTATATGAAGTTTTATCCAAATATATCAAGGAAAAAGACACTATGGTAACTACTATTAAGTCAGGTTATATGGTGGTGAAGTACTAGGTTGTTGAAACAGTCAGGCTGTGACCTCTATTGTTATATTGTTATGTCCTGTTTTATCTCAATCTCCCCCTTATTGTTTTAAAAAAATTATTTAGTAATTTCTTATGTTTGTCTTAATTAAAGAAAAAATTCAAAAAATTAGGATATATAAATAGTAACTCTTTTTGATTTCCTATTAACTTGTTTTGAAGTCCTCTAGTACTCCCACGATCTTGTTTTGACTGATTAGACTCTGTTCCATTCTATATGGTAGTATCAAGTTTGAAGACATAGGCAACTACTTTGAAGACAATAAGATTCACTAAGATACCCATTCTGGTTTGACTATTGTCTTCTTTGGAAGTCCTGTAATGTTTACAATGCCTAAGTTTTATTGGTCTTGTTCTCTACTGTTTTGTCCAACTTTATAATATCTAATGAGATAGACAATTCTTTTTAAGGAAACAAGGGACAACGTTGATAACCATTGTTGATAAACTTGTACTCTGTTCTACATCATGTGCTATGTCTATCCTTGGTATTGACTGACAGCTTTGTTTTGCCATATTTGACTGTATTCTCCCCCCCCCAAAAAAAAAGTAATAAGCACTAAGGAGTAATGAAATCCAAAGTGCATGAATTTTGTTGTAAAAAAGAGAGGGAAAAAAAAAAAAAGAAAAAGAGCTCTAACGGATATAACAGCAAGTGTGTTTAGGGGTGTTAAATAGCTGACTGTATCAATGTTTTTGGATCATTGAACACAGCTGTTTGCAGTCTACCTGTTTGAATGTCCACCTTGTATTCTTTGATACTGTGATTTGAGGAACTATTTTCAAGATGATAATATGTAATATACTAACAGGTGATTTCTTACTGTTATGTTTTTGTTTGTTTGTTTGTTTTGTTTTTTTTGTTTTGTTTTGTTTTTTTGTAGTTCTGTATTACGTGTACCCTTACACCGCTTTGGTTTGTTTTGTGTTTTTCTCTTTTTCCTCTTAAATAAATTAAAAAAAAAAAAAAGAAAAGCTCCAATAAATTTGTGGACTAAAAAAAGTTACAGCTGAGATCTCCATTGCTGAGAAGGAATAGATGGCCTGAGGGCATCACAAGCAGCAGCAAATTTTCACCTTTTTCAGCCTCAAAACTGCAAAACTGCAAGACTTTGCTTTGAGGAGAAAGTCACAGAGCATCATGCTCCAGAATGGTAGTAGCATAGACAATTTGTTCCTCATTATTGAGTTCAGAGTGCCCCGTGATCCAGGCACCAGCCCCTACAACCAACAGAGAAGGAAGCCTGGTTACTACTCCAGGTAATAGCAAACCTTGGCATCATACATGTGATGTTGGTTTTGGGTGCATGCAAAATGCAAGAGTTGTGCAGTTAAGGCTTTCATCCCTATTTCAGAAGGCCTGGGAGCCAGTTAATGTGCCCCTGTGAGGGTAGGATATAAAGCTGTGAGGGTGAAGCCAAAGGTTCAGTGGAGACCCCAGAAGTTCGAAAACATCAGAAGCATAGATCTCCTAAGGAAATCTGCAAGGAGTGAGCAAAGCAGACCCAAGAGAAGAAGCCAAGGGAGCTACAACATGTGGAATAAGCCATCCAAGCCCTTTGGAGTTCGCAGTGTGCCACAGATTGCTTAGAATGCTGCATGTGGAACTATAGGACTTAATATTTGTCCTGCTGGGTTTTGGACTTGCTTTGGTCCCAATCCTTTGTGTTCCCATTTGTAACTTTTGGAATGAAAATGTTTATCTCATGCCATTAAAAGTTGGAAGTGTTTGTTTTCAGTTGTACAAGGGCTCTCAGTAAAGGTTTGCCTCACATCTCAGAAGAGACTAGGGACTTGGACTTTTCAGCAGTGCTAAACTGTTAGGACTTTGGCAACTAAAATCCTTTTGTATAACTAAATTCCTTTTGCATAAATTGGTATGAATGAGTCTCTAGTGGGGCAGAGGTAGAAAATTATGGTTCTAATGTAATATGATTGGGGGAGTTGTACCTGGCATTGAATTCAGGACCTCACACTTGCCAAGCAGGCCCTGTGCCTCTGACCTACATATCCTGCCATCAGGTATCATATCCTCTGGAATCATATCCTCTATCAAAAAAGTTTATCAGTTTGAGTTTAATTTAAAAAAAAGAAAATGAATCTTACAAGGCTAGAAAATGAGGATGTAAGAGTTAGAGGTTACATTCCAAAGCTGAGAATGCTCAGACACAGACGATTCTGGAAGCCACATAAAAATACAGAAGAGTTATAGTGAGTAGGACATTGGCAACAAATAATGAGCTGAGATACAGAAAAGTCAGTGTCTTTTTCATAGGGACAATTCTTATTGCTATTTTTCTTTCAAAAAAATCATCAAGCTAGTGAGAAAGCTGGTTAGTATACCACATTTTCAAGAATTTCAAGTCTGAACTGTTCCAGAATTGTTAATAGTATAAAATCTTCTGCAAACAGACAAAATCATGAACCTTTATAAAAATAAAAAATAAAGTTACATGCTTCCAGGATAAAATGATGGAAAAGACAGAGATTATACAACCTATTCAGAAATTAAGAAATAAAATAATAAGGTTCAGGCCAAAATTAGTCTGATATCTAGCAGGAAAAACTTTAAATCTTTAATCTTCATTTCCAACATCTAGGCACAGTACGATTCATGTGGACTCCCGAGAACTTAGGCAGCTTTGCTTCTATGGCTATGTGGCATAAAAACAACCTCTCTCTTATAAGGCTTGCGTATTTCCTACAGCTTCCCTTGCTAGTCATTCACTCTGCTGGCATCTCTTCTTGCTGTTGGTCTCCACTGCAATTCTGTTTCACTGTCACAGATCCATACATTGCCCTGTCACTGAGTATTTGCAGGCACACCAAACCTTCAAAGCACTTTCCGGCCTCCCCAGGTTTTCTCCAGAAATCTCAGTGGAAATTCTTTTATTCCATAGTCTTGCAAAGCCATCATCATATGGACAAAGCCAAGGTCTATCACCAGGACAAGCTATATATGTGCCCACTTGAATCACACATGTAAAAGTTTCTGAGTACCTTACTGGCTAAGCACAGGAAAATTAGTCTCTAGCTTTTTGATTGGTTGGTTGTGTTTCATTTTTTGTTTTTTGAGCAAAGTAGAGCATCCCAGAGATTTTTTTAAAAAGTCTTTTCTGCACCTTTCAGCCTGCAGTGGTTCTAGCCTGGCCAGTTTCTATTCTGGCCAGCTTCAGGAATTGTTCTTAATATTTCTATGCAAAGCACTTGGGTTCTTTTTGTAGGCACCAATAACCAAACCTTCTCTAGCAGCTCCTGCAAACACATTACTTTCCTAGTCAAAGTATAAAATTTTCAGATCTTTTGCTATGCTCATCTTATTCTTGATTCTCACTGTAAATTTAGTTAAAATGATGTCATTATTCTCATGTCATCACTAGATGAAATGTCCTCTGTTACGTAAAGCTGGTATCTTGAAGCAATCAGGGTACTGACAAAATGAATCCAAATTAATTGCTATAGTATGACAAAGAAAGCCTTTAGTTTATTTCCAACAGAAACATCATTTTCATACAAAATCTCATCAACATAACCTTTATTGTTCTCATTTGTATTTGCTCACCTGTCTTTTGAGCCTCTACCAGAATCAACTGCCTCCCTCACAGCTTTCTAGGCTTTATCTATCTATTCTCTTCCTTCAAACCTTTGTAAATTCTTCCTGCAATCCAGTTCCAAAGGCTTTCTCACATTGCCCATTATATACTAGCCACACAGAAGGACCCCACTTGTTGGTTCTAGTTTCTTGTGTTAATCAGTTTTCCATTACTGCAACAGTCATCAGAGATAATTGATTCATAAAGAGAAAATGTTCATTTTCAGAGACTCCAGCCCCTGATCTGCCAGCCATATTGTTTTGAGGCTGATGTATCAAAACAGGGTGGAAAATAAGACCAGGGTGGTGTATCTATAGATTGGAAGTAGAAAAAAAATAAAAACTAAGAAGATGCTGAAGTCTCACAATACTCTTCAAGCATATGTCCCTAAAGATTCCCACTCATTTATTTATTCAATAAATGCTCTTTAACTCCAAAGCTGCCTATCAGGATTGTACTTAACTATCAAGGCATAATTCCTGCAAAAAACTGAGAAGATCTCAAAACAAACTAATGACCACATCTTTATTCCTTTCAAATGGTTCTTTTCATACACAGCATTTTTGTTGCATTTATTTAAGCATGGCATTTGGGAGCAAAAAGAGGGCAGGTGGGTCAGAACTCAGTGCCATCAGTTTAAAGAGGCTAGGAACAGTCAGGATATAGAGGGACTGGTGAATGCTGTGGCCCGGGATTCATTCATGGTCTCTCTGAGCATGAAGCTCACCTTCTGAGAGTAGCATAGGAAAAAAATAAACTCTCTCACGTTTCCTTGTCTGGTGTAGACTTTGGGAGGTCCCTCTCCCTCCGCTCACAGACAAGGCAACAACAGCCAGAGTGGGCAAAATTGCATCCGAAGATTGAATGCAGCTTAGATCTGGCACAAGGGAAATTAGAGAACATCTCCCCACCTGGCTCCCTGGGGCTCTGGGCCCTATCACCTAAAGTGTATGCATCAGACCATGTCCAGCATGGAAGACATGCAAGGACTGCTGCCTGGCCTGGTTCGCTCTCTCTGCAGAGCTGGACAGAGGCCGCCACTCCGGGGCTCACCTTGAGATATGAGCAGGACACTATAGAAAGTCATAAACCACCGGATGCTGTTAAAACGCTGGCACCAGGGGATAACGAGGCAGGCCAGGCCGCAGCGCTCCTCCGAGATGTTCGAGGTTTCCGGTGCTGTCTGGGGCGGCTTACTGGAGATGGTGAGCTTGGCCCTTTTCCTGGCGGAGGCTCGAGTGAACTTGATCACGGTGTTTGGAAGCACTGTTAGGTACGGGGGTTTCTTCTTCAAGATCTTAGAGATCATCTCCTTCTCTTCAGCATCCTCTGCCCTCGAAGTCTTCTTAGACCTGAGCCCTGTCTCCACTTCAGCCAGCGTCTCCTTCAGGGACACCGTGCGCAGCGCGGGGCTGCGCGCCATGGCTGGGCCGGGCGACTCCGAGACACCAGGACTGTGATGTGGCCGCGCGCCGAGGCCAACGGGCATCCTCCGGGCCTGAGGCGATGCCCATGCAGGAGCTGCCATTGCCTTGTGGCGACTTCCTGCCACGTCATAAAAGGGTAAACAAAACAGAACGAAAGTGAGAACTCGATTCTGATAACTGTGCACACACCCAGGGAATGCTAGAGTAAAGTTAAGGGTTCCATTATTTATTTATTTGATACTCGTTAGGAAGCAAGGAAAGAGCAATGTGTAAAGTTGGGACCATGAAATTGTCTTTTTCCCAGATTTACTTTATTGTGACACTTCCATCCCCAAACTGGACCATCTCATTTGATACACACTGAGATTTGTTGAAGCACCAGAAAAAGATCAGAAGCAGAAAAGATACCTTTTACACAAAGAAAATCTTGGGAGAGCAACAGAGATGAGAAAAATACTTCAGAGAACATCCTTCAATACAAGGTTTAACACCAGCAAAATATTCTCTGAGAAACTATTCGTACCACGCAACCGAAATCATTTCCTCCCTAACTAAAGTCACAGAACCCGTAGAATGATTAATTTTCCCAGGTATAAAAGTCTCACTGAAGATAAAGACTGTGAAAGCATCCTTGCAGTATGTAAAACTTGTTTTATATTAAAACATCTTATTGACTTCTTTTCTTATGCTTAAAATATGTTATTTAATCTGCACTTATGGAGCGGATGGATTTCAAGAAAAGATGAAACTGTGTTCCTTCCTATGGATTAGATATGTTATAAAAACAATCCTGCTCTTCAACAAGTCTTTGTGCTGGGCTAGCCTGATAGACAAGGAGAAAATCCATCTAAACCACTGATGTGAAGGGCAAGCTTGACTCAGAGAGGCTACAAGCGTGTCAGTAAGAGCACTGTCAAATGCACACTCACTCCAGAGACATCCCAGCTGTCCATGTTCATCAAACTCAACTTCAGTGGACCCTCACATTGCTTCATAATGTTAAAAGGTGTAGAGACAAGGCAGAATTCTGAGGAGGAGGAAATGGAGAAGGGGAAACCCTTGTCTTTGTCCTTTGATATCACACTGGCCATTTTTCCCAGTGGTGAAAATACAGTGCTGTTAAAAATAACTGATACTAGAAATCTCAGTTTTCAGAACAGAGACAGCTTTCCTATGTTTCCCACCAATTTAATGTCAACAACAACAAAGCCTGATTGCATAAATATTTTATTTTTGAATCTATTAGAAGGCTATATTTACAAAATATAAATTCATACCAAAGAGAAACACACCCTTTGGAAGCAGTGTGGTGCACACAGATGGCCTCACTTTTTTTGGAAGAGCACAAGAAAAAAAGCAGTCATTAAAAAATAGAAATATTTGAAATTTTAATGAATTCTTAAATGCTAATGCAGGTATTTCAACAATGAGACACTACTTTATATCCATACAAAGACCATAATAAAAAAGGAAAACAATAGCTAGTATGGCCAAGAACAATAACTGGCAATGAGATGAAAACCTTCAAATTCAGCTTATGGGAATTTAAAATGCAGGTTGTTTGGAAAACAGTTGGAAAATCCCCCCAAATGTGAAAGATAGAGGTGACCATAAGATCTACCAATCCCACTGCTGAAATACACAATCAATAAAAATTAAAGCAGATGAAAACTTATACACAAATAGGACAGCAGAACTATTTATAATTATAAAAATTAGATTCAATCAAAATATCTATAATGTAATGAATGGGCACAACATAGTATATCTGAACAATGGACTCTTACTCAGCAACTAATCAGAATGAAGTACTTGGCTTTTGTTACAACATTGATGAGTCTCAGACACATTACACTAAGTGAAAAGCCATTCACAAAAGACCATATATTGTATGATTCTATTTGTATGAAGGGTCTAGAACAGGCAAATCTTTACATAGAGAAAAGAGATAATGAAAATAGATGAACGGGGTGGTGAATACTGATGGAAAAGGAATAAAAAAAAGGTGGAAGAGATTGGTAATGAGAATAAATTTTCTCTTTTAAAATGAAATCATGCTAATAGTGAATAAAAATGGCATGGTAGCGTTAATTTGGAAATGTTTAGCAATTGAGAAAGCCTTACAAACAAGTCCTAAATGAGAACTTATTGAAGCACAATACTGTTTTTTAAATAGAAATAAACATACCAACCTGTGGTGATATTGCAAAAGCAGTATGAAGAGATGTTTGTAAAAATAAGCACCTACATAAAAAACAAAAAGAGATTTCAAATAAACAACCTAATTATATAACTCAAGTAACTAGAGAAATAGGAAAAGCCTAATTTAAAGTAAGTGTGTTATGGTTTGTGTCTAAATGTTGCCGGCAAAGCCTCATGCAGTCATAGCTGAGGCTTTTTCAGAGGTGGCTGAAATCTAGACTATATGATGCTGGGATTGACTCGTGGTGCATTGCTAGGCTCAAGCTCATTAGGGCTAATGCTGTGAATGCTACTCTCCTATGCAGCTTGGATAAGACAAAAGCACCAGAAAGAGCTTAGGTCTTCCCTCGTTGCTTTGCTAGCTTCTGCCCCCATGAACTATTTTTCTCTGCAAAGCCACATTGCCTTGGAACCAGCCAGTTATGGACTTAAACCTCTACAAACTGTGAGGTAAATAAACTTTCCTTCCTTACCTTGAAGATATTAGGTATTTTGTTTCCGCAATGGGAAAAATAACTAAGATACAGTAAAAAAAAAAAAAAAAAAAAAAAGAGTAGGTCAGAGCAAAAATAGAAATGGAGATGAAAAGGAATAAACAAAACAGAGTTGGTATTTGAAAATATGAACTACACAAACAGTAAAACTAAAAGTCAATAAAGCTAGCTATAGAGAAAAGAGCAAAATGAGTACAATCAGAAGTGAAACGACATTACAATGGATAGCATAGAAATGTAAAGGGTCATGGAAACTATAATAGATAACTTATGCACCAAAATCTTGGAAAATCTACAAACATGGATAATTTTCTTACATAACCTACTAAAACTGAGTCAGGAAGACAGAAAATTTATACAGGTCTATAACTAGGGGAGAATATGAGTGAGTCATGGAAAGCTTCTTAGCAATAAAACAAAACAACACATCCCATGGAGTGAGTACACTATAGACTTTGACCTCATCCCATTGGCTTCTTTATGATTTGAAGCAGGTCTTTTAAACATTCTAATTCCTAGTTCTTCATTTAAAAATGAAGATATTAGTCAAGCTATTTGTGGTTATTCTGAATACCAGAAGCAATATTTTATAAGTGTTTTGTCCCACTCATGCCATATAGTAAGTAAACAAGATAATTATTTTTCTAATTACTAAAATCACTAGCCTCCATCTTAAAAACAATTTAGATAGCTCTCTGGATTAGCGGATAGGAAATGATTCAGCTGAGGGAAAAATATATCAGAAAATTTTCTCACAAAAAGTGAGAGAGAAGGTAGTGATAGACATAAGTACTGAATCAATGTTTGCCACTAGGTATATTAAGGGTAAGGTTTAAAGTACCTGTAAAGGACATACAAAGCTGTTTCAATGAGTTTTAAGTCTCGCTGAATCAGCTTTTTAGACAAAAGCCTCTCTGGGCAGAAAAACATAAACAAGACAACATTTAGACGTGCCACATGCCTTCCTAACTGAGGTCTTTGTGGGAGCAGAGCGGGTTCAGCAGAAAGTGATAGAAATGAGGATGAGAAGTTAGGTGATGACAAGAACTATTAAAGGAAATATACTCCTGTAAGACTTAATACGCTTTTAAAATGATTCAAAATGATTGTTGTGTTACATGCTGCAATTTCAAAAACAAGACATTTAAAAAATTGAAATTACTCTAACACATTAAACACTAAAGCAAATTTTACTTAAGACTATTGTAAAAGAGGAGACAAATTGTGCTTAACTTTAATTCAAGCAAAGAAAAATGGGGTTTGGAAGCAAAAGAGCACACTGAGTTTGTATGTTAGTACCTTTTCTGTTGCTGTAACACCAGTCGGAAGTTTATACGGAGGGAAAATGCATTACTCACATCTCTGGAGGCTGGGAAGCCTGTGATCTGAAGAAGCCTACCTCTGGGGAGGGTCTTCATGCGGTAATGTGACAGGAGGATGGAATCAGAGAGCAGACAGCTCCACGGGAGGGGTGGGAGCAAGGCCATGGTCTCAGCAGGGCTCAGGAACCCTGAGGGTGGACTGTTAGAAGGTGAGAGTGGCCCCAGTTTTTCTGCTTCCCATTAAGGGCAGAGTGTCGGATGACCTGAGCTCCTTCTGAGAGCATGGTCTCTCCTCAGAGCCACCACGCTGTGGTCAAATGTCTTGCACCTGAACCTTCGCATTCACTCAGACCAGATCCTAACAGTAACAGGGAGTTACTGTTCTATCCACTTGCCTGTGGACTATTTTAAAACACAGGTTTGAGAAGAATCAGTATTAAAATTTTGACATCAGGAGATTTGTAATCACAAGAAGTTTGGCACAGTGCATTGGATTTGCCAGTGCATTATGCAAGGAGTTGTTTCGGTCTGAATTCTTAACTCCCTTCTTTCTAATCCAGTTGCCAATAAGAATTTATTTTTCCCTTTACTTTTTCAGGGGCACCAATATTTTAAAAGATTTCATTTGCTGCCCCCTAGAGGGAATATATTTCACCTTTATATTGAATCTAAAAGAAATGGATCTAGACATTGAAACTTCATTTGCTTTTATTTTTGTACTTACGTTTTCTACTCAGAAAATAAATATTCAATTATAAAATTAGTTAACACTTCCTATAATACTTCTAGTACTCTTTCAGATTTGAATTAAGGTTATTGGCTATGTATAATGCACAACATATTTTTGTGTGTATTATCCTCACTTCTATGACAGCACAGAGTATATTTGTTAAATGTGAGTTTTGAGGAAGAAAATTAAAAAGAAAAATTGTGATGTCTTTTAGGAATGCCCAGTTTGCAAATATTTGTAGATGTTAATATCCAAAAGTTTAAGCTCGACCAAAGTGGGATTTTAGGTGAGTGATTGATAATTTTTGCTCAGTTATCATTTGACTGAGGGGAACTTTTATTCTCTGTCTTCTCTCATTTGTACAGAGAAAGAGGTTTTCTATTCTACTAGCCAGAAAAGAGTACTGAAAGGTAGCTCTGGCTGCTTTACCAGGTTGATGAATCTAAAAGGCAAAGTGTCAAAAGAACAGTGAGTACTCACAGCCCTAGTATGCAGTTATCCATCTACTGGGGTCAGTTTAATCTATTAAAAAAGTAAGAAGCACACTTTCACTTCAGATCCTAATTGTGTTCCTTAATTTAACTTTTCCAGCAATTAATTTATTCCTTAAGGAAAAACTGTATACTATTTTTGCAAAGGGCTCAGATCTCAAAGACAAAAGAGTATAATTAACTACTGAGGTTATGTGAGATAATATAGAAACCATTGTTCATTTTCTGTTAGCTGGTTATAAATACCCTGTAATACTTTCATCCTCTTGAATGGTTTCACAGTCTTGATATGTTTCATGCTATAGTATACAAAGTTATACTCAAATATTTCAAGGAAAGAGACACTATGGTAACTACTATTAAGTTGGGTTATCCATTTTTTAAAAAATTTTATTTAAGGAGAAAAAGAAAAAAAAACATAAAAAGGGTACAAGTTATACAAAGTCGAGTTATCTTGTAGTGAAACACTATGTTGCTTAAATTGTTCTGTTCTGACCTATATTGTTATGTCTTCTTTAATCTCAATCTTTCCCTTTTTTAAAAATTTATTTATTTATTTTTTTAATTAAGGGAAAAATAAAAAAATAGGATATATTATAGTAAACTTTTTGATTTCCTATTAACTTGATTTGAAGCCCTGTATCACTCTCACCATCTTGTTTTGACTGATTTTATTCTATTCTGTTCTGTTTGATAGTATCAAGTTTGAGGGTATAGGCAACTACTTTGAAGGCAATAAGATTCACTACGATGCCCATTCTGGTTTGACTATTATCTTCTTTTGCAGTCCAGTAATGTCTCCAATGTTTAGGTTTTATTGGTTTTGTTCTGTACTGTTTTGTTCAATTTTATTATACTTGATGATTTGGCAGTTCTTTTTAAGGTAGCAAGAGGCATTATGGTGACTATCGTTGGTTACCTTGTATTCTGTTTTTACATCATGTACTATGCCCATCCTTTGTTTTGACTGACTGCTTTGTTTTGTCACATTTGGTTTTATTCTCTTCCAAAAAAAAAGGTAATAAGAACTGTGGGAGTAGTAAAACCAAAAATGTGTAAATGTTATTTTTAAAAAGAGAGGAAAAGAACGTGCTCTAAAGGATACAACTGCAAGTGTGTTTAGGTGTGTAAGATAGATGACTGTATTACTAAGTTTTTGTTGGATCACTGAACACAACTGTTTGCAGTCTCACTGTTTAAATGTCTACTTTGTATGCTTTAATTTTGTAACTTGAACAACTATTTCTAAGATGACAATATGTAATCTATTAACTAGTGATTTCTTACTGTTTATTTTTTTGAAATTCTGTATTACTTGTACCCTTTTACTGTTTTTTTCTTTTCTTTAAATAAAATTTTTTTAAAAAGAATGAGGTTATAAGCAGATAGAAAATCTTTGGAATGTCAACCATAAGAAATGTTGAAAAAATATTAAGATACATCAAGATTTGAGAGTGACAAAATTGCTGACAAAATTTACTATAACTAAAGATGGTTTCAAGAACCTCAGAGTAGGACAGTCTATACTCTTTAAAAATTTTGTCCTGATTCAAGTCTCTAGGGTATGTTATGAAAACACTTTTCTTTACATTGTCGATAACAAGATAGCCTAAATGGCTACTGACACCAAAAACTTGAAAGAGCAGGAATTTAATGATCTATCCTTGTCCTGTTAAAAAATGCACTGATGGGGTTGGGGATTTAGCTCAGTGGCATAAGCGCCTGTCAATCCCCGGTAACGATAAAAAAATTTTAAAAGATTAAAAATGCCCTGATGTTTGGCTTGTTTTCTCTCACTGTCATTCTTTCCGCAGTTCAATGTTCACCTCAAAGGCTCTGATCTGTGGTTTCCAGGTTTTCTAGTCAACTGTTCTTTGCTGTGTTTGGCTGGTAGGATGGTGCACAGAGGAAAGCAAAGGCAGAGTTTGGGTGTGTCTCTCAGTGGTTCCCATGCTGGGAGCTTGCACCTGGGTGTAGTGGTGTTAAGCTGATGGAACCCTTAAGGGATTCAGTCTAGTGAAGAGTGGTTAGGTCTCATACAATGGATTCCCATAAAAGCAAGTTGCTATTAAAAAAAGAAGTCAGACTGGCCTCTTCACTCCGTTGGGCTTCCTATCTTCTGTGACACCCCTCTGTCACGAGAATTTGCAGAGTGCCATCCACTGTACTGTGATGTAGCCTTGGTTGCCCTGACCAGAGGTCAATAGAGTTGAATAATCTTGGATTTGCAGCCTACAAAATTATAAACTAAATAAATCCATTTTCTTTATAAAGCACACAGCCTGAGGTATTTAGGTATAGTGCCAGAGCACAGCTAATGGAGCATCTCCTTCTGCCTTTGCAGTTTCTCTAGGAACAGCTGTACCTTCTCCATCATCCAGGTTCTTCCTTGCTTCTCCTGACCTTTGGAACACTGCTATCTCCTTTTAATGGTGATAGTAGCAGTTTTCTACTGTTGCTAATCTCTAGAATACCTCAGTGTCCCCTATGTGATTTTTCAGTCTCTCCATCAGCTATTTAACCAACCATTGCTATTAATTTGCATTTTTAAAAACTCATCTTGGGGACCCAGCAACCAGCCTGGGGAGAATCCAGGTAACTGGCTCCTCGCCATGCATCTCAGGAGCCAGCAACTGGCTGGCAGGAATAATCCAGGTGGCTGGCTCCTACTCCTGTATTGATGAGACCAGGAAACCAGGGAAACACCACAATAGGACCCCATAGGATACACACTATGAACAGGTAGGACTAAAAAATTCAAAGCAACATTAACAATGCATGCCAACAGGTGCTAAGTTAGGTGAACCAGTATTGTGCCTGGGGAAAAAGACACACAGAATAGAAGCAGCTGCATATGGAACATACTCTAAAATAAACCATATAGTAGTCCATAGAACATGCTTAAGAAAAGCAAAGGAATTGAAATTATCCTATGCATATTATCTGACTATAATGCAATGAAAATAGAAATTAATGGCAAATGAAACTGCAAAACCTACATAAATACATGAAAATTAAATAACACCCTCCTGAACAACCAATATGTTACAGATGAAAGTAGAGAAGAAATTGAATAATATTTACAATTAAATGAAAATTTAGGGACAACATATTGAAACCTGTGGGACACAATGAAAGCAGATCTAAGAGGAAAATTTATAGCAGTGAATTTTCACATCAGGAAAAATAGAATAAGCACAAATAAACAATCTAATGTTGCACTTCAGACTTCTAGAGAAAATAAAAGCAAGTCAACTGAAAGCCCATATAAGGGAGGAAATTATAAAGATCACAGCAGAAATTAGTGAAATTGGGAATAAGAAAACAATGCAAAGAATTAATGATTTGAAGAGTTGGTTCTTTGACAAAATAAATAAACTTGATAAACCCCTAGCCAACCTTGTAAGAAAAGAAAAGATTCAAATTCTTGCAATGAGGAATGAAAAGAATGAAATCACTACATACTCTGTGGAAATTCAGAAGATCAAGACTTAACTTCAAAAATATTTACTTTCAAAGGATGAAAAACACAGAAGAAATGGACAGAGTCCTAGATTTGTACAAATTTCCAAAGCTGAATCAAGAAGATATTGAAATTTTGAAAAACCATTATCCATTAATGAAATTGAAAATTTAACTAAAAACTTACCAACAAACAAAAATCAAGGTCCTGATGGATTCACAGCTGAATTCTACAAGAAATTTAGAGAAAATTTAATGCTAAAACTCCTCAAAATCTTTAATGCAATTGAAAAGGAAGCAATACTCCTTAACTCATTTCTAGAAGCAAGAATACAAAAATCAGAGAAAGATCCAACCAAAAAAGAGAATGACAGGCCGAACTCCATAATGAGCATTGTTGCAAATATCCTCAAGAAGACACTAGCAAACAAACTTCGGCAAGTCACCAAGAACACTGTAACCAAGTAGGATTTATTCTAGCA